TGAAAGCGCATGAGGAAGAGAATTCTAGGTCGATCTCACCAGAAGAAGACAGTTGTTTCTCGTTGCTCGGCTCTACTACGACGTTCAGGTTGACGCAGCCCACAAGATATCTCTCTTCGTTTCGGATTAAAACGGGCCATCATATTATGCACATCATCAAGTCTAGACATAGATAGATATAGAGTGATTTGGCTAATTTTCAATCTTCGTGAATGAGTAGGTTTTCGATAATATCAATAAATCAGCTATAAGATTTGTGTTCATCCTATTTCGTTTAATGTGATGCAAGACTGGTAGTTGAATTTTCTCACAGCTGATATTTTCCATTAAATTTGGCACAGCCTTGCTTTCCCAGAAGGTCTCTTCATTCAGGCTGAAGTGGACTGCAGTTTCGACCTCGTAAAACTCTTATCAACAGCCTAGCATCCCTTGAAATTCATATCTACCCTGTGACCCAATTACACTCGTGACAATGTTGCATAATGGTTAATGTGTAGGGCTCACACTCTGCACTGCCATGGTCCGACTCCCGCTTGGGGTTCAGATATGATCTATGCGAGATCGAAACTGCAGTCCACTTCAGCCTGGATGAGAAGACCTTTTAGGAAAGCAAAGCTATGTGAAATTCAATAGAAACGTCAGCTCTATTCATATCATTGTGGAAAAATTCTACTTCATCACCTTAAACGAGATAGGCTGAACACAACTCATATTTAAATTTGCATGGGTGTATGTCTGCGTGTAACGTCTTTGCGAAAATATGGGTTTTAAGTCAGAGTGATTAAAAAAAGCCAAATGTCAGTGTCGGGTCATCAAGACTTAATTACCCACGAAAGAGCCCCTACCGAGACTGCCTAGGTCCATGAGTAACTATTGTTGAGATATTGAGATATTGGCTTGTAAGCGTGTAAGTCAGATTGAGAAATGACCAATCAAGAATGAGTTCCAGCTCTGATGATGCTCATCATATGCTGGACGAAAGCTCACCCCGTTTTCGCTCTAGACGAGGGAGGATGTCTTGTGGGCTGCGTCAACCTAAGCGTCGTATTAGAAATGTGAGATGTATTCACCCTATTTCATTAAAGGTAAAATGAAATGAGTAGAGCTGACGCTTCCACGGAGTTTCACATACCCATGCTTTCGCAAAACTTGTTCTCATCCAGGCACTAGTGGACTGCAGTTTCGACCTCGCATAGATCTAATTGACACCTCCAGCGGGAGTCGAACTGTGAAAGTGAGGCATATGAGCTTGAAACGTTAACCGCTCGGTCACATTGCCACGAGGGCCCTTGGGTCACAGGGCAGATGTGAATTTCGAGGAAGGCCAGGCCTTTTCCCATATAACATTCTTTGGCGCGATTGTCGATGAAGTAAAAGAATATTTGCCATAACAATCGACTACGTTACTTATTTTTAGTATGTAAGTAAAGTTTTGAGATTATCAGTAAATCAGTAATATGAAATGTATTCAACTTATTTCGTTTAAGGTGATGAAGGACTGGTAGTAGAATTTTCCCATAATGATATTAAAGCAGGGCAATGTGAAATTCAATGGAAACGTCAGCTCTACTCATATCAATATGGGAAACTTCTGCTACCAGTCCTTCATCACCTTAAACGAAATAAAGTGAATACATCTGATATTTCTGATTTACTGGTAGCCAAACGGATGCAGATCAACAAGAATCTGCTGTCGTCTTATGATAAGATCGATCTACAATCTCTTCCTTATACAATTTAATACGAAATGTAAGTCTCTCCAACAATGTTATCTTAGGAGACTTATTGAAACCCAGTTACTTTACTTAGGCTCAGACAGCTAATTATCTCAGCCGCACGTTTATTCAAAGTTGCGTTATCGTTTTGTGGAGTCTCTTGGGGTCATCAACCCTTTATTACCAAAAGACAGGAGTTTTTATTTTGCATTGATTGTCCTTGACTATTATTTTGGCTTCATATATCCACACACCATACCTAAATATACGCCAACACCAACGCATACATACACGCATACATACGCACACAATAATGTATATCAATAAGGTTAGATATAATGTACTAACAGATTTACCTGAACTTGCCTTTAAGTGAGTCTTTTATGAGCATATTTAGTAATTGAAGACTAGCAAGCTATTTTTATTAAATTAGCCTTAAATATGTTTCAATATTGTCAGTGGATTTTGAAGGTGAATCTATTCACCTTAGATCATATAAGATAACGTGAACTTTTTAGTTGAATTTTCCCACAATTATATGACTAGGCCTAACGATGCTATTATATTTTACCTTGTCTTGCCTCCAAAAAAATTATACACCAAGGGGTGGACTGCAGTTTAAAGTTTTTCTGGGTTTCATTATTACCCCCACAGGAAATAGAACCCGGGTTGTACAGTGTATATTTTTGAAATATCACTACTGTGTCACACCGCAACTAGTGCCAGTGGGTCAGAAAGCAAGCCAAAATTTCTCCCATCTCACAATAATAGTTGGAATGTGAATGAAATAGGCTAATATTTGCAACTTAACTCGAAGCTGCTAATTATATTCATATAGAGCAAATTTCAATATATTTTCAATAGTTCTTGAAGGAAAACCTATTGCGAGCTTGAGAAAAGTCCATACTACGATGATGCCTGTGAATGTACATGACAGTTGACATTTTAGCGTGTGTTCGTAGTAGCCGATGGAGAGTGTCTTGAGGACTACGTCTAATAGAACATGTTAAGCTAAGCACTAGGCGGACGGGCTATTTTCTTCTGATGACACTAATGAGGAAATCTCTTCACCTTTTCACCTTCTTTCAAAATGCAAGTTTCTTCTTCTTCTTGACAGGCACTTGTCAGAGCAGGAAATTATTCTTCAACAAGGCATGAAGACCAAGAGGATGTGGCCTCTATTTTGGTTGTGGTCTCCTTTTGTCTTAGAAAATTTATTTGAATTTATTTTCGTAACTCGGTCTTATTACCAGAGCGACCTATATGAAGGCATTTTATTCGAAGTCCTCTGCAAGTGTATCCATGACAATCTCCGGAGTCGGACATTAACTATGGAACTTTCTCAGACGATTCGTCGACATCGTCAATGATCTTCGCCAGTCTTAGCACCAAGCCATAAATCATAAAAAGAATAAGTGAAGCCAATTATTTGCTAAGCAAATGGTGAATTCACTTATCCCATATCTTCGCAGCACCCTCTTAACTACCACATTTTTAAACTTGCTTATTTTAACCTGGGATAGACCTGCTCACTCATACAAAGAAGGTTATCTGAACACAAACCGTCTGTCAAGGTCTATAGGTCCAGAAATCGTAGCTACCTGGACACATGATTAATACAGGACACAAATAGAGTGCTCCAAATCATGTTTTGCAAGCTACGGAGATTTCCCATCCAAGCGTAAGACGGAAAAGTGGAAAAAAAC